AAGATTGGGAAAAAGATGGATTTATTATTTGTTTTCTGATAGTTTAGCAAAAAACTGTTATATTTGGTTTATTGTTATCTACCATTTTTTTTACTTACTTTGTGCCTTGAACACCCTGTAACTGCTCTAAATTACAGTGGTATAGGAAAATTTTTGAAAAGCAATAAAAATACTTAAAATAATCATTTTCATTTTTTGTTTTTCTTACCTTTAAAAAAATGAAAAAAATGATGGACGAAACAGTATATATGAGAACAAAAATGCTTCTTTTTTTGCATTAACTTTTTTTTATTCTTTTGAATTGTCAAATATTACCTAGGCAACTACAGCTATTATATTTCACTGTTAAACAGCAAAATCAGCAGTAAATTTTTTTTTGCTATTTCTTCTCTATAGTATAAACGGATATATAGAAATCCACAAATGTAAACAAATTGTTGATAACTATCGGTTCTGTTAGATTTTACCACTGCTGTTACAACAAAGAAATCCATTGAATATTGTTCTCTGACTACCAGCCAATTTAAACAGGGAGAAAAGAAAAGTTGCTGTAAATGTATATAAATATTATTTGAAGTTGATTAAACAAAAAAAAGATTGATCAGAATGATAAAAATATTGAAAAAAATTTCATCAACTTTTAATGCATTCAGTTACAAATAAGGAATTGATATGATGATGCTGAAGCAGTTTTCTTCTTGCAACAAAAAAAAAAACTGTATACTTAAAGATGACAATCAACTGATTGACTATAAGTAAGACTTTTGTTGATTTGCAAAAAAATATACCCAGAAAAATGGTTGAAAAAGCGCTTCAGAAGCAATCAGTTTGAAGAATTGTTGATCGAGCAGCGTATTCTGTGTTTGATATAACCGTTTGATGAACACTGTAAATATTTGAAGATTCATAGCAATGTAGTTGCTTCTGTTGGTATACAGGGAAAGGAAGAAAAATCAAAAGATTTATTTTATCATGAAGTGTTTTCTTTTGCAACATTGTTCCAGTGATTTTTTTTATCATAGTTTTAGCAGTTTTTTGCTCAAATTTTTTACTTTTTGTGTCTTGAAGATTTTCAAAAATCTTTTGATTCTTTTTGCTGCTATTACCGCTGTCATCACTGTTGATGTTAGTATTTCTTGTATTTTAAAAGTTAAAGTCTTTTTTTTTTGCTATGACCATAAACTTATGTATGAGCACTTTTTGTTGTTATTACTTTGTTT